TTTATTTTACATTTTATGTGCATGGGAGCTCCATAGAAAAGAAATAAAAACCCAAATAAGTGGCTAGTCTTGGGGCCTTAAGTACTATTTCAACAAAAAGTGGTAAATTGTTGAGAAATGACTAACAAAGAAGAGGGGGTTTGGGCTTTTAGAGCCAATAAATTGTAGGAAGGTAAATATCTGGGGGGAAAAAACAGTGAAGGTAAATGTCATTTTGTAAGGTTTGTTTATGCAGACATCTCAGCACCATCTCCATCTCCAGAAATAAAGGTTATTCTTTCTGTCCTGGTACAGGAGAGAACACTATCATAAGAGAATGTTATGCTCTCCTTTTAGGCAAATGGGGGAAAATAGCTTTTCCTGTGTCTGCTTTTTCTTAATTACCCTCAGCTCAAAACAATCAATGTGCCAAAGTAGCATATTTTGGGGTGGCATATTTCTGTTCCCCTTTAGCTTTTTCATATATCTAAGATCTTCCAGATTATTAAACCATATTTTTAAATCCATGTTCTTTTTAAAGATGTTCTTCAATCACCACGTCCTGTCTTCCCTGTCCTGACTTGAGCCAATAGCTTTCTAGGACTCTTTTTAATATCTAACAACTTAAAATTTATTTTCATTTCATTCTTCAGGCAGTTCTTCTGTTCTGTTGAATTCTGCTTCCTTTTGCTGCATTACATCCCCAAGTCATACCAGAAAGAATAAATAGGGAGAAGTTTGGAGTCATTAAATATCTTATTGTACCTTCATTCGCAAATAAGAGTTTGGCTGCATATAAATTTAGGTTCAAAATAATTTTCCTTGAGAACTTTGAAGTTTTCCTTCTCTGTCTTTTAGCATCAATGTTACTAATGAAAAGAGTGATGACAATCTTATGTGCTTTTTTTGGGTAGGTATCCTGTTGATTCACTCTGTAAGCCCTACGCTAGGATTTTTTTATTTTATTTTTAATATTTTGAGACAGGGTCTCGCTACATTGGCTAGGCTGGTCTCAAATTTCTTACCTTAAGATATCCTCCCACCTCGGCCTCCCAAAGTGCTGGGATTACAGGTGTGAGCCACTGCACTCAGCCTACACTAGGAATTTAAAATTTTCCACCGAGTATTTCTTGAAACATGGTATTTTCCATCTAAAAAGAGTTTCTCTAGTTCAGACAAATTTTATTTTTCTATTTATTTGGTTATTTTCCCCCTGTTTGTCTTCTCTTCTTTTTTTTCAATACCTTTTGAGGAACAGGTGGTATTTGGTTACATGGATATGTGACTTAGTGCTGATTTCTGATATTTTGGTGCATCCAGCACCTGAGCAGTGTGCACTGTACCCAATGTCTTTCATCCCTCACGCCCCTCCCACTCTGCCCATTGGGAAACTCAGAGTCCATTATATCATTCTTATGCCTTAGCTTAGCTACCACTTGTAAGTGAGAACATAGGATGTTTGGTTTTCCATTCCTGAGTTACTTCTCTTAGAGTAATGGTCTCCAACTCCATCCGGGTTGCTGTGAATGCTGTTATTCCATTCCTTTTTACGACTGAGTAGTATTCCATGGTGTATGTGTATGTATACATATAAAATATGTATACACACACACACACACATACATACCACATTTTCTTTATCCACTTGTTGGTTGATGGGCATTTAGGCTGGTTCCATATTTTTGCCGTTGTTTTTACATTTTGAATTAGTTACATATTAATAGCTCTATAGAACTATCCTGCATCTCGCCAACTCTCTGATTTTTCCTTTTCTGTCATTCTCTACATCCTGAGCTATTTTCTCAACTTTATCTTCCAGACTACTAATTTGTTTTCAGCCCTATTAATGATTCAATTCTATAAATTTTTAAAATTTATTTGGAGAATCAATTGTTTAATTTCTCAAGACCCCTTTCATGCTGTTTGCTTGCTAATTTTTCTAGAAGCCTGTTCTTATTTATAAATGCGCTATCCCCTCACATCTTTCTGAGGGGACTCATTCAACTTTTTAGCGTCTCTGAAAAAATTGATAATTCTTGGTTGCTTGGTACGTTTTTTGTTGTTGGGTATTTTTGGTTTTGTTTTGTTCTGAGACAGAATCTCGCTCTATTTCCCAGGCTGGAGGGCAGTGGTGCAATCTCCGCTCACTGCTGCCTCTGCCTCCTGGGTTCAAGCAATTCTTCTGCCTCAGCCTCCCAAGTAGCTGGGATTACAGGTGTGTGCCACCACGTATGGCTAATTTTTTATATTTTTAGTAGATATGGGGTTTCACCGTGTTGGCCAGATTGGTCTTGAACTCCTGACCTCAGGTGATCCACCCACCTCTGCCTCCCAAACTGCTGGGATTACAGGCATGAGCCACTGTACCTGGCCAGTAATTTTTTAATAAAAATAATACTGTTGGCTGGGCTCAGTGGCTCATGCCTGTAATCCCAACACTTTGGGAGGCCAAGGCAGGTGGATCACTTGAGGTCAGGAGTCTGAGACTAGCCTGGCCAACATGGTGAAACCCTGTCTCTACTAAAAATACAATAATTAGCCAGGTGTGGTGGCGGGTGCCTGTAATCCCAGATATTCAGGAGGCTGAGCTCAAGAACGGCTTTAACCCAGGAGATGGAGGTTGCAGTGAGCCGAGATCGTGCCACTGCACTCCAGCCTGGGTGACAGAGCGAGAGTCTGACTCAAAGAAAAACAACAACAACAAAAAAAAAAAATTATATTGTTGATTGGCATGGGTAATTAACAAAGTTATTTTTTGAAATTTGGAAAAACAGTTTACCCATAAGACCCATTGCTGAATGGGGGACTAAATCCCCATTTTCTGAAGCAAAGAAGCTTCCTTTTAACAAGCGTGGAGAGTTCAACTTGCATCCTCATTAACTACCAGTGAGGAGGACTTTGCCTTGGGTGGTGACATTTTGCAGTGCATGTCACTCTGAGACGGGGCTACCTCTCCCTTCCTCCTCCCCAGTGTTGCATGGAAGGTCCTGAGCTATCTCAAGCTGTGTGCCTGGAGCCCCATTAGAGGCATTCCTGGGAAGTTCTTCTACTCTAGTGTCTCCAGCAGGGAGCAAATGTAGCCAGCTTCTCCCGAAACCTAGGAAGAGGAGAGGAGGTACCTGTCTTCTAATCAGTGTCTTCTAATTCCTCGACACTCCAAGTGCAATCTCAGGTCCCACCACAGAACTACTGAATCCAACTCTGTACAGAATCCCTGGTGATTCAGGAGCACTTCCAAGTCTAAGAAGCACTGCTCCTTGGCTGCTGTCCATTCCTGAGCCTCAAGCTTAGGACCTCTGGGCTCTGCCAGGAGGAGTCTCTCCCACCTTTTCTCAACTTCTCCTCTCAGCCTGTTCCTGGCTGTCCCTTCAATATGATCCACTTTCCTGTTTTGGTATATAAATAATTCTGACTTATGAAATAATATAGTGAGCACTTATATGCCCATCAACTGGCTTAAAAATAAAACCCTTGTGGACACCCTCACCCCAATTCTGTCTTTCGTCAGTTCTGAGCACAGTACAGCAGGGGTGTGGAAGCCCCAAGCCAGGACACACCAGTCCCGTGGGACTCTGCTGCAGTGTAGGCACAGAATGGAGTGGTGCCTCCGCTGCTGTGGGGACCTGAGACTGCATGGATGGCCTGGGAGGAGTTCAGTCTCAGATCTCTAGGGGCTGGAACAAAACTAGGGAAGTTCTAGCTCGACTGCTAAGACTCAGACAGTGTTATAACAACTGACAGATGGAATAGTGCTGGTTGGAGGAAAAGCATTTGCTCAAATAGGCATTAATGAGGCTGCCTTGTGAGCTCAGGAGGAGTTTGAGAGATCCAAAAGACCCAGAAGTAGGGAAATGGCCTCCAGGATGTCTGCCAGCCGGAAGCAGGCCCCTCCGCAGGCAGGACCCAGGACCAAGACAGGAACCAACAAGAGCAGGGCTGACTCTGAGCCCTGGAGAGAACAGTCTCCTGGACCAAGACAAGCCAGTGGAAGGTGGCTGTGCAGGCACAGGGAGCAAGGAGTCAGTTGCTAGAATTTGGAATCAAGATATGGTTTGGGTCTCAGGAATAAGGATGAGCTTAGGCCAGCCCATTTACAAGAGTGAAGATGCAGATTCCTAGAGACTGGAGTTGCTGAAATTCCTCCTGCTGATGTTCAAATTGGTTCTTCACTAAAGTGATTAAGGTCAAGGGGACTCAGCTGAGGAAGAGAAGAGGCGAGGAAAGGAAAAGGGAAGGTAGAATCTAGAGCCAGGTATCATCCAACACCATCACTTGATCTGAAAGGGGCTGGCTTTTATTTCTCAGCATTTGCAAGTAAGCCAATATATCTGAAATCCTAAGCAAAATTATAAAGCTTGGTCTTCCCCTCTCATCACCCTCAACCACACACACACAAACCATGGAACAAATACCCCAGAGCACCAGGAAGACTTTCTTCCCTTCCCAGAACTTGCTTTGAGCACCTTCTGTATGCCAGGCACTATGCTATGAATTGAGACTCTTCAGAGTGCAGTACCAGCAGCCTTGGCCTTCGACACTCCTGTCCAGTTACGGAGACAGACACGCAAACAGATCACTCCCACCGGTGTAGGAAGGCCCATGCTGGAGGTGTTCCTGAGTAGCACGACTACTGAGCAAGGGCCTTGAAGTGGAGGTGGGTAGGAGAGAGGATGGGGGAGGCAAAACAAGAAGGAAACTTGGAGGGGAGATGCAACACCATGTGTGCCAGGAACCACAGGTACTTCACTGCTTCCTGAGCACCAGCTAAGGCAAGTGGAAGCGGGTGAGAGATCATGGGTTTTGGAGCCTGAAAGTCCTGGGTTCAAACCGTCCCTCTACCCATACCATGTGTGTGACTTGGTTATGTTGCTCGACCTCTATAAACCTCAGTTTTCTCCTGTGATCATTTGGGGATCCAAAAAAGAAAAAAGCATTTGAAATCTTTATTACTTAGTAAAACGTCCGTATTCCTAAGAGGATGGGGATAAGGAGGAATGCATTCAAAAATAAGATACATGCCATACTGGTTACTAAAACTGTTTAACATTTATTGCTTCTTTTGGAGTTAGTAAGTTGTAAGCCTCACTAGATGCACACACTAAGAAATGGAATTGATTGGACTTGACCATAGGAATAGATCAAACTATGTCCTCTTCTTGTTCCAAGTTTCCTCCAAAAGTGGTAGTTATTTTGTTTTTCTTCATCCTTGTAGAGATACATTTAGTAGAGCTTACCACATAAGCTTCCCCTAACAAATTCCAAAGACATCCACTGCCCCCTTACGTAATGAGGTACAATCAAAGATCAATTAGCCATGCTAGTGGTTAATAGACAAGGAGAACATCTCCATAATCTCTCCAAAGATGGCAAATTATGGCTCTTTGTTTCTTTTTGGGTTTGTAGCATTTTTTTTTTTAAAGACAAGGTCTCACTCTGTCCCACAGGCTGAAATGCAGTGGCATGATCATGGCTCACTGCAGCCTCAACAGCCCGGGCTCAAGTGATCCTCCCACCTCAGACTCCCAAGTAGCCGGGGCTATAGGCAGAGGGCACCACACCCAGCTAATTTTTAAATTTTTGGTAAAGACAGGATTTCACCATGTTGCCTAGGCTGATCTCGAACTCCTGAACTCAAGTGATCCGCCGCCTTGGCCTCCCAAAGTGCTGGGATTATAGGCAGGAGGCACTGTGCCTGATTGTAGATTTTTTTTAAATTTACCATATACTTGCAAATGAAATAATCTGATTGTCTGGAGATTCCGAAGAGTTCAATGAAGATGATGAAAGAAACACTATAAAAACATAACCTGGGAGGAGCTTGACAACTGTTTGGCATCATTGTTCTGTCTTCGTACTTAGAAGTCTTTTCTTCTGAGTCCACATTGAAAATAGACAGTATCTCTTCACTAGTGGGTAAAATTACTAAGAACTGAGGATAAGCTAGAGATATCCTTCTGCCAAGTCAAGGCATAGCTGGAATTCATGCCGTGATTTTCATCCAACACGTTGAACAACTGATCCCAGCAGCCAGGCATCGGCCATAGCAGCTCCACCATTAACAAAGATCAGTGTTTAACGGTGATGGTTTTGATCTCAGTGAAGAAGTCGTAAGAGTCCTTGGCTCCTTCTCTACCTATTCCAGAACTCTTCATCCCCCCGAAAGGAAGGTTCAGCTCCCTGATGAGCCAGCAGTTGGTCCAGACCAAGCCAGACTGCAGCTTCTTAGCCACCCGGTGGACACGTCCCACATTGCTGGACCACACAGTAGCTGCCAGCCCATACTTAACGTTGTTGGCTCTTTCAATCACCTCCTCTTCGCTATCAAAGGGGACAACACACGTCACTGGACCAAATATCTCTTCCGTCATGCAGCAGGATTCATCCTTAATGTCTGTTATCACCGTGGGAAGCATGAAGTAGCCTGCCTGGCTCCTGGCGGGGAGGTTCAACTTATCCACCCCCTCACCGCACCAAATCTGGGCACCTTCAGCAAGAGCTCTCTTGACGTAACTTCTGACCTGCGTGGGTAAAAATCATAATTAGCAAATGTCTTACCATGTGGCTTCACACAAATCAGCAGAAAATTCAATGTTTTCTAATCGGCTCAGAAGGTCATTCCTAAGAAATCTAGGGTCAATTATCTTATCACTCAGCTGCTAAGCAGGAGGGCAGAGGTGCTCCAAGCATCATTTGGGCATTCACCTTTCATACATAAGTGAGGGAAGTAATTATTTAACGTCTAAGTGCCAGGAACTCAGATAAGTGCTTTTCATACAATCTCAGTTGATTGCCTCAAAACATTATTAGCTATTGTTAATCTATTATTATCTTCTATTTGCTGATAGTATAATTGAGTGTGAAAAATATAAATGGTTCATAGAGCTAATAAACAGTAAAGTTAGAATTCACACTCATGTATATTCTGTAGCTAAATACACGAAGAATATTTTCTCCCTTTTTGGAAGCTATGTCCATTGCAGAAAATGGGAAGAAAAAGATGTGTAAGATTTAGTTAAAGGCCAGAATGCCCTTTAATAGATGAGCTTCCAGAACAAATCATTTCTAATTTCTAGTCTCATTACTGAATATACTCTGAAAATACACCTAGGTAATATATTTTAGCTAACTATAATGGGAAATAAATTATGTAGCAAGTTAACTCGTAATAATTATATATATAAATAAACATTGTTGAAGTCACAATTGTATGTTTTTCTACCCCAAGGGGTATTATAAGCAAAAGAGAAGTGTAAAAGTAGTCCTAAAAATTAAAAATGTAGAAGAGCAGTAAAGCAGCAAACCAAAGACAGGGTAAATTTCGCAATAATGTTTTGGATTTTTACTTATCTATCAAGAATTCTGCCCCAGGATTACGTTAGAACTCCATTGTAGAACTGTATTCAGTGTAGAACTATATTCAGTGTAGAACTATATTCAGTGTAGAACTATATGTATATTTTCCATGTAAAATAGAGGTAATATTATTCTATTATTAAATTTGCTCCAGGTTTGTAGAATTAATAAACCATGAAGTTAAAGACTTTTTTTAGAGACAGTGTCTCACTCTGTCACCCAGGCTGCAGTGCAGTGGCACGACCATGGCTTGCTGCAAATTTGAAGACTTCTGGACTGAAGAGATCCTCCCACCTCAGCCTCTCGAGTAGCTGAGACTATAGACACAAATCATCATGTCTAATTCATTTTGTTTAAATTCCTAAAGAGATGGGGTCTTGCTATGTTGCCCAGGCTGGTCTTCAACTCCTGGTCTCAGGTGATCCGCCCAAAGTGTTGGGATTACAGGAATGAACCACCACACCCAGCTCAAGACTTTTTTAAAAAGTGGAACATTTGGTACAGATTTATATTCCCTTCCATTAACCTCCACCCCCAACATCCATAGTGATCTCAAAGTTTTCCCCCAGAATATATGCTATTCTAGTTTGTGGGTAGAAACTAAAATAAGTTTGTACCTCTCTTGATCCCTACTCTCTGTCTTTTTTTGAAACTAACTCATCCACATTAATTAAAAGGTTCCAAAAGTGAGTGTCCTGTGTGAACAGGGGAATTGAGGTGCAGCTGTCCAGAGGCCCTGCTGGGATGCAGTGGCTGGACTTCATCAATGATTCAGCACAGCACAAGGAGTACCTGGCTTTAGACCATTATGTCTGAATGAGATCACATGATTTATCTCTCAGGAGCTCTTGGAATAATAAAAGATAAAGAGAAGTGTCAGTCTTCAAATTGTGAACTTATCAAAACATTTAATATCTAAGGTGACACACTAATTGAATTCATTTCCTAGAGAAAGTATGACTAGATGATATCTACCCTAGCAGCTTGGGAACAGAGATTTTCAATAAATTCCAGGGGGGGGGCGTGGGCAGAGAACAAAACCATGACTAGTAATATGCTATAAATGTAAGAAATTATTATAAAATTTTTTCTTCAGGAGAGACAATAGTTAGTACTCAGTAGCTTTAGACATAAAATCAGAGCACAGGGGTTAGAAGAGTAACCCCGAGAGCCAAGCTGTATTCAAACCCTAGTTCACCCGTTTACTAGCTGAGGGCTTTTAGATGTCCTATGCCTCAGTTTCCTTATCTGAAACATAGAATGACCACAGTCACTAATTCATAGGGCTCTTGAGAGAATTAAATAAGACAATATATACAAAAGATTTAGCATAATGCCTGGTACATAGTAAGCCTTTTTGACTGTCAGCCTCTGTTGTTATTGATGATGTTGGTGATGACAATGAAATGAGTGACCCACACTTATTAGCAGAGAGACCTCAGAGACACCCCTCATTCTGTAGGTCAGGTTTTTTATCTGATAAAAGGCGACAGGAAACTGCAACAGTGGGCTTTGGTTAGGTCTGAATCTTGGCCCTAGCAGGGGATACACCCGTCAGCTTTTTCTGTGCTGCCTCCAGTCTCATTGTAAACCCTGCAGAATTATCTCTGTATAGTTGCCTGCATCTTTAGGCAGACAGGTACACAGCCAAATCCTCCAGAGTGTCAAGTAGGGAAGGATTCAGGAGGTAGAAAGAAAAACAAAAAGCAACCCTGCGAAAAGGCAAATGGAGCCTTATCCTCAATCCACAAGGATAGAATCCCCTGCAGGTTACTAAGCATTCCATGGAGTCACTGGGACCCTGGGAAATCATACCTCCATTTAGGAGCATGTTGTATCTCCGTAAGTCCTTGAGCCCTCAGCCATTACAAAACAACTTGTACATATTCTAATTGGATTCTTTTGCCAATGGCATTGCCACCTATTGCGGCAATCACGCAGAGGTAGGACGGACATGAAAACTCCAGACTCCACATGGCCAATTTGATTTGGAGAAGACAAAAACACACTGTAGGGGCAGAGAGGGCTGGCATGCAGATGGCAGCCCGGTCTTCCTGGGCACTCAGCCCCAAAGCTTTCTGGGGTAACACGAGGAAAGATGACCATCAGCAGAGGGCAGCCGCTGCCTCCTCCAGTAAAGATGGTTTGGCACACAGAACTGAAGAGTCACAATCTGAAGAGGCCATACTTAACATTTCTCTAGGTGTTTCTATTAGCTGTCTCCCAAAAGGCAGAGACAGCAGGGCTTTCTCACGAGAACTCAGCTGAAAGCCTCATGAGGAGCCCAGCTAGTGGGAGGCTCACTCAGTGTAAAGCTGTATCTCATTTCATCTGTGCACACACTCAGAGTGAAGCAGTGAGGATGGCGGATACCTAGTGATCCTCTAAGCCACAGGAAGATGGGGTCAGCAGGCTGTTTCCCAGCAGAAGGTAGATCCTCCTGAGGCTTTATACAGAGGAGGCATTGCGGGCAGAGCTGAGAGGAGTCCTACTCTATGTGGGAGGGATCGAACAGAGAGGATGACAAAACAAGGCAAGCTACATAGATACCAGCAGTTTTAGATGTGCTGTGGTTATGGAAATACCATCCTTATTGTTTTTCTCTTAAAAAACTTGGCTGCTGATAAGTACCATTTTCAAGTTTTCAACAGTGAATAACTTTCTTTTTTTTTTCCTTTTTTTGAGACAGAGTCTCACTCTTGTCGCCCAGGCTGGAGTGCAATGGTGCAATCTTGGCTCGCTGCAACCTCTGCCTCCCGGGTTCAAGCGATTCTCCTGCCTCAGTCTCCCGAGTAGCTGGGGCTACAGGTGCGAGCCACCATGCTCAGCTAATTTTCGTATTTTTAGTAGAGACGGGGTTTCACCATGTTGGCCAGGCTGGTCTCTAACTCCTAACCTCAAGTGATCCGCCCTCCTCAGCCTCCCAAAGTGCTGGGATTACAGGCATGAGCCACTGTGCCAATCTAACAGTGAATAACTTTTTAACCATGTCCAAAATCTTTCCCCTCTGAAGCAGTGGAATTTTGGAGCTTTCTGAGATAAGTACAAACTATTTAGCTATACTTAGTTTTAATAAGAATAGTTGCTGAAAAATTATTTTCTATAAGGATCAAGCAGAAAATCAAAAGTAGTTGATTGAAAAGTCTTCAGTTGAGTTAATAGTAACATGCTGGTTTCTTACCATGAACAGATGTACCTTAGGACTGTAAGATGCCAACAACGGGAAAAACTGGGAGAGTGGATATAAAAATTCTCTGCCTTATCTTTGAAACATTCTATAAATCTTAAATTATTACAAAGTAGAAGGATTATTTTATTTTTTGAGACAGCATCTCACTGTCGCCCGGGCTGGAATTCAGTGGCGTGATTTCAGCTCATTGCAACCTTGACCTCCTGGGGTTCAGGTGATCCTCCTGCCTCAGCCTCCTGAGTAGCTGGGACTACAGGCATGCACTACCACGCCTGGCTAAATTTTTTTGTATAATTTTTAGAGACAGGGTTTTACCATGTTGCCCAGGCTGCTCCTGGGCTCAAGTGATCTTCCTGCCTTGGCGTCCCAAAGTGCTAGGATTATAGGCATGAGTCACCATGCCCAACGAAGATTTATTTTAAAAAAAAGAAAAAGAAAAAGAAAAGAAAAGAAAAACTGCCTGAGAGAGAAAGTGTTCAATGGTAAAAATATCTAGGGGCTTTCAAAAGTTTTGTTTAAAAGATAAATATGAGTTTATGGCCTTATATTTTAATGTGGTCAGAAAAAAATTGGTAACTGCTAAGATTCATCATTTCCAAAGTGATGCATGGCACCTAAGTATACTAAATTGAAATGATATTAAGACGATACAACTAACATGTGAAACAGACGCTTGATTTTCAGGCATAATTTGGTTCAATAGAAGATGGCATTTCTGGACTTAGATATGTCCAGGAGAAGCTGGCACCATGTCTAGGGCTTTGCCAATATTTCAAGTTTTAAAAATATTGAATATAATAAGTGGTTTAGATCTATTAGAAATCTTGGTTTTTGTCCACAGCTTCTGCAGCTGTGATGCTAGAAATAATGAGGAATGAGAAATGAGGAATAGTGGCCTTCCCATTTCTCCTTCCTTTAGGGGAAGGTGGGGTTGGTAAAAACACGGTGTATAAGATAGGGTGATGGAAGCACTAC